ATATATAAAGGAATTGATTATGTATTCCGAATTTGGGTTCCAAATTTAAAAGTCAAATAAATAATTATTCATAACTTATGGGTCAATATTAACTTGGACATAAATGTAATAGTTAGTTATTTATAGTTTAATCAAGTACTCAACTACTTAAATTTTGATTTGAATATTTATACAAAAATAAATTATTATTAATCAGTAAGACAATATAAGTGTTATAATTATACTTATTATTTAGATATAATTTTTAATATCTGATAAATTTTTATCGAGATATTTATTTTATGGAATTACATTGTAGTCAAAACAAATTTTTGAATAAAATCTATTACTATATAAAAGAGCTAAGGAAAAATGTTTGAAAAACTCGAAAATAATTGTTTCATTTTCCCGCTTCAAATTCCCGCTTGTGTTTCATTTCCTTCAAGATTTTTGTTTTTCCCGCCCATGCAATTTGTTTGAATTATTTCTCCCATGCAATTTTTGAATGGAATTTGTTTCTTCAGATTATGTGGGATTCTTTCCTTATCTTAAATATGTAAATAGATCATTTAGATACTATTATATATTCTATAATCTAATTGATTTAATAATATTTTCTTATACTATAATTTGCATGTGTTTTGTATATGACCATCCATGTTGCTACATTTTATATTCTTATATACGTAATTTAATTTTATATAATTAACATTTTAATTGTAAACATAAAATAAACTTATACTCTTTTAGCAAAGATATTTAAGCATATATAAATATTTGTATATTATATACTCACATCCTTAAGAATATAACATTAAATTTATTATTATATGTATTTTTCATATCTATTACTATATAATAGGAATAAGAAAAAACCTAAAAAAAATAAAGATTCCTGCTCATATTTTCGATTTTTACTACTAACGGAATTGTTTTTTGAATTTTTTATGTTTCTCCCGCCCATGATTTTTTTGAATTATTTAGAATTTTTGAAACGAGTGTCAATTATTTTTTTAAAAGATATACATTTCATCTTATCTTGATGTCCATATTTATCTCAATTCTATCCCTGTTTTTTTTTTTAAAGACATTTTTTTTTGTGGGTATTATTTTGATTTGATTTTAATATCCTTCATTAGATATTTAGAACCACAAACAATGAAAAAAGTAAAATAAAATGTCTGAGTATTGTATTATAAAATATTCCTATGAAGCATGATAATTTTTTTCTTTCCTATATTCTTTTTTCTTTTTTTTTTTT